GTTTCATTTCTTTTATTCATAAAATGTATAAACTACCGTTCAACCTGCACCAATACCAGGGTATTTTTAATCCAGTAAGAGAAAACAAAAACACTCCAGTTCTTAAAACACCTGCAAATGGTTTTCACTCTTGGTCAGTTTCCAGGTCTCATTGGATCATTACTTGTGCCAGAGGCAGCTTGTGTGACATTTCCCCAAAAGCCTGCAGACTCTGAATGTATCTGAGATCAATTATGCCCATCAAAGCTAATAACAGGTCTTACCTCTAGGCACAAAAATGACCTGTTGCCTGATCCTATGCATGTTTGCTCAGACTCACTGTGTATATGTGGACAAGTATATGCAAGGTTGAAATTTTGCTTGTTTATATTTGCAATGGCCCATATAGAGAACTGGATTTTGCCTTTGGGCCTAGTCAGTCTGTATGCACATTAGAGACAGGAATGGGGTTTTTTATGCTACAGCCATGCCTAGATTGTTTCAGGTCCCTAGCTCTAGCTAAACACATCTCCCTCCCCCCAGTATAATATGTTGGGAAAAGCTTTATTTATGAAATGCCTGCAGGTCAGGCTTCTCTTAAGAAGCCCAGGAAAGCAATGAAAATGAGAGTCTTGCAACTCTTACTCCAGCATACGGAGTCAGCGATGGGTGAGTCTGCAAATTTATCATTTCCTCCCCTTAAGATTCCACATCAGTTTGTGATTTTTTTAAAACAAGTCCTTGTGAAAGTTCACTGACATTTTAAAGTGAAATTATGCAATTTTGCCTAAAATACCCATTTTTACAAATAAAATTTCCCTTATATAGGGGCAAATTATGCCACAGAATGCCAAGTTTTGCATGCCAAGAACTCTGATAAGACAATTGAAGTCCAAGATTTGTCACCAGTATTGTTCTCTCAATTTTCTGCTAATAAATATTATCAATTTCTTTTCCTTTAGATAAACACAACTCAAGTTCTCTCCAGGTCTGATAGTTTTCTACATGGTCAGTAATCCTCTCATATGAAGAGATAATTGCTCCAATGTTCTTCCAGTCTTTTGAATCTGTTTCTTGTAGAGTTGATGCACCATTTTCTTTTCCTGAACAACGTGTAGCAATAAAACAAAACAAAACAAAACAAAACAAAACAAAACAACCACACATATTTTGAGGCTGAATATATCGACACTTCACCATTTGCTGATCTGCCTTTGTAGTGCAGGAGATGCCAAACAATGCAAAGTAGATTCCCATGGCAGAGACCCATTCACCGAGCTGGGAAAGGTCATTGGAACAAAAATGAAATGTCTTTAATTATGACCCTAGTGCCCCCTTCCAACTCTACAATTCTATGATTTCCAGAAAGTGCAGATAGTGGCACTTGTCACTTCTCAACAGGAATGCTATTCCACAGAACAGGAGCAGCCACACTGAAAGCCCTGCTCTGAGTTACTGTGGATGGACCTTTTATGAGCAAAGCATATCCTCTGCCACTGAGCTACAGAAACATAAAGAGATCACCAAGGATAGCACACAATATCAATCTCACACGTTACATTGAAGCTCCACCACTGCCAGGAAGTATTAGCTTTTCACAAGAAAGATGGGGATAATTTATTAGACCATAAAGGCAGCAAACAAGCTCTTCTCAACTGTAAATTATTTACCAATAAAGATATTAAGTTATTATAGGCCCTTAAATAATTTAATCAAGTGTCAGTAAATAATTGAAAAAAACTGAGAGTGGAGCAGAAATGGTTACTGAGGCTGCCACAAGGAAGGAGCGGTTTGAGAAACCGCAGAGACTGGGGCCTATTCCTAAGGACATATGAAGAGCCTGGTTTCTGGGTCAGGCCAAGGCCCATCTAGTCCAGCATTCAGTTCTCACAATGGCCAGCCAGATGCCCTCTTGGGAAGCCGGCAAGCAGGAGCTGAGCACACCAGCAACTCTTCTCACTTGCAGCCCCCAACAACTTGGAATGCGGCACTGTTAAAAGAACAGGCAAGCAGAAGTGCCAACTTGGGCCCCAGGCTGTGGGTGCCCAATGGTGCATGTGACATGACATGGTGACATCACATTGGACATGACATGACATCATGTTGCGTGCACATGCTGCTTGATATCCACCCACCACTACTGCTTTCCAGTGCCACTGCAGCGACTGGGCTGGGGCCTCCACCTCTGCCGTGGGGCCTCTGTTGTAGGAGAGTTGGAGGTAAGGCAGTGGGTGGTAGCAGTGGAGGCCGGGCACCCACAGTGAAAAATTTGTGGATGTCAAAGCACCCAGGGCCCCCTGGAGTTGCTGCCTGTGCGGGTGGGGGGCCCCTGGTTCCTCTGATCATGCACAGTTGTTTGTCTGTTGGCTGCAGCTCGGTGGTAGAGCATCTGTTTTGCACACAGAAGGCCCATGGTTCAACACCTCTCATCTCTGGGTAGGGGTTGGAGTGGGAAAATCCTTGCCTGAAAACTTGGGGAGCAACTGCCAGTCAGTGTAAACAGTACAGAGCTAGATGATGGTGCAGTGGTCTGACTTGGTAGAAGTCAGCTGGGCTTGTACAGTGTGTGTGATTTTAACCAGTGCCTGACAGACAGAAGTGCCTAGAAATGCTGTGAAGATGGGGAAGCTGCACATTGTGATATTCTGCCAGCCTTGAAAACTTACCAATGAAAAGCATAGCTAGAAAGGGAAGAGTAACCTTTTATCTTCTTGTCCACAGTGTTGGCAGATTTAAAAAGTGGGCCCTGCAGCTGTGCTTTTAATGGTCATGTGGCATACAGCTTCAGCTGCCGACCTCTATCCACCCAGCTGTTCTTAAAGGGAAAGGAACAGCGTGGGGTGTGACTTCTGGTCAGTTGGCAACCGCACCTACAGAGGGCAGGCGCCCCCCTAGGAGACGCTGTCCTCTGCACATCAACAGGTGACCCCTTTCTCTCCTGTCACTTCACCTGTTGCACCTTTATGCGGTACAATAGCGGGACCACAACGGTACAACGACTGCCTTCTTTAAGGAGGGGGTTTCTCTGGGGCCCTGAAGGCCGCTTTCTCGCCCTGTCTTTGGAGAGAGGCGGCACCGTTCGCAGGCTTCTTGGGGCAGGCGCTTTGGTGGCCCAGGCTCCTTTAAGAGCAGCAGCAGCACTAAGACGTCGGGGTCTTTCGTTTTCCTCTCCCCTCCCTCCCCGTCACCCACAGAGGCGTGCAGCGGCAGCAGATCCGATTAGCGGGGAGGCCAGGCGGCGGCGGCGGCGGCGGGATGGCGGACGGTAGGCGGTGCTGGCGGCTGGCGGAGTTGCGGTGGCTGCTCCTGCTACGCCGGCTCCTTCTCTTGGGAAGCGGCGCTGGGGTGTAACAGTAGCCTTGACCAACAGCCTAGCCTTGCAGCGGCCGGCGGAGGCGCTGCTCCTGCCGCCGCGAAGCCGCACCGCGCCTCTGGAGATGCCCCTGCAGCGGAGGCGCCCTCGACGCCGCCAGGGTTGATTGAGCAAGCGAGCGAGCGCCGGGACCGGCGGCGGCGGCGGCGGCGGCCACTGCCACTAACTGGAAGGAGGCTGGCAGCCTGAGCCCAGGCATCGCCGCACAGCAATGGCATGCAGACCCGCGCGAAGGGGAGCGGGGATCCGGACGAGGAGGAATAGCAGCAGCAGCAGCTCCGGGCGGCGCTCGCTCACGGCCGGACACCGCGCCTGCCAGGTAGGCTGCCCCTAGCGAAGCGCGCGCCTCTCACAGTCTGCGTCTCCGAAAGGCTTGCCCCTTGTTATCCCTGCTGCTTTTAGTCTGCCTCTCCGGACGCGGGGAAGGGGGAGCGAGAGGGCAAATTTCTCTCGGGACAGCTCAGCCAGGACGTGGCTTATGTTTTATATCTCGTGGGCCCTTTTCACCCCAGAGGCAGTTACGCTTTGGGGGAGGCAGGGACCCGCTGCGAAGAGATTTTTTTTGGCCACGATCCCGTGCACGCTTTTTACTTGGCGAGGAAGCGTGTGCGGGATTTGCGCGCTGGATGAAAGGCAGAGATTTCCCTCCCTTCCCGTGCTGGGGATGCGCTAGGATAGAGGAGCCGGCGGGACATCAGACTAGAAAACCCTCGTAGGATAGCGCTGCGAACCAGGTTGGGTTTTCGGTGGTAATGTGCCTTTGTAACGCTCTCCTCGCCTTGTGAAGTTACGCTTCATTGCCTCCGGAGGGTATCGCTCAGAGGCTGTCGTCCTTCCTGCCCCCTTTACAAACGAGTCTGTAGCTCTGCACATTATCCTGGGTAGCATTCTTCCCTCCGGGAAAATTGGACAAGGTCACGTCACCTGTGGGTGCTGGGGTGGGCCATGGGGTGCGCGGCGTGAGGGGCGGCCACAGGAGCTGTTCCTTGCAGCGCATCGCCTGCTGACCCTGTGGGGTACGATCCACCCGGAGAAGCCCACCTGCGCTAGACCCGTCGCAGTGAACGGGGGCTGATGCGCAAGAGTGCGGGGGCGTGCGGAGGAGCGCGCTGGGGCTTCCGCAGGAGGGTTAAGCGCCCACCGTCTCTGCAGACCTGTGGCTCTTCTCCTGTTGTTGACATCCAAAGGAATCCCACCGCCCAGACCCACTAAAGAGTTACCGCGTCAGCTGATTCCTCGGAAAGTAAATCCTTTCCTCTCCAAGAAGCCTTGCCTAGGTTTCCCAGGCACCCCATTAAAAGAGAGGGAGCAGGGAGAGTGCTTGACAACCTCCTGGTGCCGCACCGCAGGACTAATGTAACCTAACTCACAGGGTTGTTGCTGGGATTAAATGGGGAGCGATGAGAACAGCATATACAGGAGTGGGGCAGTAGACCCGGGAGTTAGCTGGATTGTCAATGAAATCTTGCGTCTTTGCCTCGGCCGCCTGGCGGAGCTAAGATCGCTTTGTGGTTTTGGGTATTTGCAACTTTTTAAACGCTTAAGGCCCTACCTTTGTCCAGGAAGCGTGTACCTGAGTGCTGCCTGTGTTCGTGTGTATGTGTTCAAGGCAAAAGCACTGCAGGCCAAAACTGCTATTTAATTAAAGGCTTTTTCTTTTAAACCCACTTTTCGACCTCCTTCCGGGACCTGCAAACGAGCCTTGCGCGCAACAACAGTAAAAACATCTTTGACGCCGAGGCAATAACATAGAAAAATTCATCCCAGCAGCCCTCAGCGAGCCTCTGACCCTTGGCCAGCCTCGAGGGGCGTTTTCACAGAGACGGATGGCCTTTCGCCGATGTTGGCGGTGCTGAGACAGAGTGCAATGTTCGGAAAGGCTTTCGTGGGGCAGGTGCCTAGGTGCCCAGCAGCATGCACACAAAAGAAGCTGCTTTATAGAGTCAGGCTGATCGGTTTGTTAATCCAGGACAGGCAACAGCTCTGCAAGGTTTTAGGCAGAGTGGGGCGGGGTTTTTCCCCAGCTGCCCAATATCCTCCCCCGGGCAATGCTGCCCGCGAGTGGCAGGGGGAGAGTTGCATCGAGGACTTCATGCATCCACAGAAGTTGCTCTGCTACAGAGCAACAATCTCTTCCGACCCCTGTTCTCTTCCCTCCCCCACAAAACCTGCCTTTTCTCTTGGAAGCACCTTCCTTGTGCTGTGAGCACCTAAGAACAACAGCCTGGGAATCAGCCAGGGCACATTCTGCCCTGCTGCCATGCACCTATGGAGCGCAGCAGCATTCCTGGTGCTTCCTCGGAGGTGCCAACTGCGGAGCTTAACCCAGAGGGCCGTGCGCAGTTTGGCACCAGTGAAGAACACCAAGAGCGCCTAGAAGTAGATTAGGACTAGCTGTTCTCCCCGGTTGACTCGCAGGTATGGAGCAGCAGCAGCAGCTGCAGCAGCAGCAGAGGACCCCACGGAACAGCAGCATCTCTGATTTTCCAATAGAACGTTGACCCTGTGTTGATCTCGGTTACTAAGCGATGCAAGCGACTGATTTTCTTTCATTGGGTTGGGACTTAGAAGTGGTGTCGGAATGTGCGAGCCTCTGCTGGCACGTTACTACTTGAATCGGTACTGGAACGGATTCAGTTTCTGTGTGGCTGGTGCTTTTCCCCTTCTCTCGGAGGGGAGCTGAACGTTTAGAATCCAGTTTAGTTGTTGCTGAGTGACCACAGGCGTAGAATGATTTTTCTAACTGCCGGGAGGGTCGCCACAATGGAACTCTTCCTCCCAGGCAGAAATGGAGAGAGCTTTTTGTCATTTGCCACCCTTTATCTCTCTCTCTCTCTCTGTATGTGTATGTCTCTTCAAGGGATAAGTGCCAGCTGCAGAATTGTTTTCAGTGAAGGGCATATGTTGAGGGGTGGAATAAGCATGTTTTCTCAAATTGTACTGAAACAGGGTGGGTGCTTCAGGCAGGCAGTAGCTGACACACTGGTGATGTGGAAGAAATAATTATAACAGGGATGTATAAAGGGTGTGAGTATACATGTGCTTGGCTTCTGATGGCTGCGCACACTCCATGCCTTTAAAGCAACCCCCCCCATCCTGAGAATTGTAGTTTAGCTCTCACAGCACTGTAACTCCCAGCACCTTTAACAAACTGCACTTCCCAGGATTCTTTGTAAGGTGGAGAAATGTGCTTTAAATGTTTGGTGTGTACACAGAACAAGACACACAATTTCTCATCTTTCAGTGGCAAAGCTTACTATCTGGGAGAGAGCATAAGAATCTGCCTTAGCATGCAGCTCTCAGACAACCCATTTGTTGAACATTCATCCCAATACATTCGCAGGGAGATTAGAATATTTAATGAGCTTTCCTTCTGATTTGATTGTGGGATACATCAGATGACATTGTGTCAAAGCAAATGTTAACCCACACTTTCTAGTGCAGTTCCCCATCACTTTCCTTACTGCAAAAAGTTGAGTCTTCTGGGGAAGCAGGTTTGCTGTGCAAGACCCTCTAAGCATTGCACAACATGAAACTTGCAGCATGTGATTGAATCCACCAGAAAATAGACACAGTTTGCTTGTGCACTGAGTCAGACCACTTGCCCATCTTCAGGCACTCATGTGGGGGACCTTCCAAGCATCATAGTTCCTTACGATGAGCTTTGAATTCAAATTGCACTCTAGCCAAGAGCTCATTGGGTGCCCTTAAGCAAGCCCTTATGCGCTTCTTCCAGCCTCCATCTCCAGTACAGGGAAAATTATTCTGTTCTGTGTGACAGCAATGGAGGCTGGTCTATTAGGGCAAAGGGGGACTGCCCTCAGCCAGTCTCCACCTGCTCGCCTTCTTTCTTAGAACTAGTCCAGTGGGTGTCTCTGGCTGCCATTTGTTCTAGCACCACCTACTGTTGGACTCCGTACCCTGCTGTCCTACCAGTGCAACTGATGCTTCTGTTTTATAAACTGGGTTGGAGGGATTACGGTATTCAGATAATGTTGACAAAGGGCTCTGAATGCTGGAGGAAGAGCACTGGGAATATTCCTTATATCAGGGATAGGAAACCTGTGGTCCTCTAGATGTTGGTCTCCAACCTTTCACAGCCTTAGCTAGTGAAAGGGCGATGGGAGTTGTAGTGCAACAACTGGAGGACTGCGGGGTCCCCAAACCCTGCTATAATAATAATAATAATAATAATTTATGAGTTTCCCCAGCCACTCTGGGCGGCTATATTCCTCATTGCCCATCAGGAACTTCATCAACAAGCAGAAAGGATCCACTGCTTTTGCAACCCCTCTCCTTTCTTCCAAGAAGAGTTTCTTCCAGCTCTCTTGTTTGGACACAGCTCTGGGACATGGTAAATGAAAGTATACCGTCTCTGAATGTGAAAGCTCTGTTTAGTTATCATGGCTAATTGATATGCCTATCTAAAGAAATCAGCCTAAGCTTCTACCCATCACTATACTTTGTTTCAGTGCGTCCCACAAGTTAAGGACATGCACTGAGAATGCGTGTTTCCTCACTCACTGTTCTCAACCTACTGCCAATCAGCTTGATGTCCTGCTTTCCCCAATTGATGTGTCTCTATTAGGACTACGGAAGAAATCTGATTCAGCCTGCATTTGAAGCTGAATCTTACGAAATGATCACTTAACCAATACATAGCCATCCTTTGAAATCCACAGTTATCTAAATTCTGGAAACAGTTCTCTGTCTAAACGTTTACAAAAATGCATAGATTAGGGAAAGTGTGCATAAAATGCTGATATTGGTGAATTCATTATACTGGGGGAGATGGCTGGCAAAAATGTCTATATTAGTCAAACTGCATACAAAAATGGGTTTTATTAGGAGAAATTCACACTCCAATTCATTAGTTTTTTAAAATGCAGATTGCTGCAGAAATGTGTGGAACTGAATTTAAGATTGGAAAAATGAGAAACTGAGAGAACTAAAACCAACAGATTATTCTGTCCCGAGACAGAACTGTGAGAAGCTGTGTTGTGAGAAGCTGGAGCTGTAATATCCCTCTCTCACGTAACCCTGGGGCTGAAGGTGTGTGTTGTTGTCCAATGCCTGGAGGTAACCAGGTTAAGGAAGCCTGGCTTGTTCTAAGACAAGGAAAAAGGAAAGGAAGAAAATGAGGATGGAGAGAGGGAGGGGCAAGGTCCCTTGCAAATGATGAGGCAAAGGGAATGTTGCTCTAATGAACCTCAACACCTGAATGTGTGTTTTCATGGCCCACACTATTCCTGTGAATGTAATTAGTTGCAACAGTTTTTAATACTGAGTTTTAAATTGCTGCAGCCCACCTAGGGACCTGCTGGTGGAGGATGTTGGGTTACAGAAGGCTGACCTAGGCTTTGTATGCACTCCTGCAGCCACTGCATTCCCACCACTGGTTTGCACACACACCACTAGCCACAACCCATATTTATCCTGCAGCTTCTTGAGAAATACTGTGTTTTGATGTGGTTTCCTCCCAAACCATGTTCGATCTGAATTGAAAACATAAGCCATGTAGAATCATAAAGTTGGAAGGAAAAACAAGGGTCATCTAGTCCAAGGCCTGCAATGAAGGAATCTTTTGCCCAACGTGGGGCACAACCCATGACCCTGAGACTAAGCATCTCATGCTCTCTACAGACTAAGCTGTTTCCAAAGGCATCTATGCCCCCTCTCAGCCTACAGAGGGTGACTTGGAAACACAGTGTATGTGTTGGGTGGAGAGGGGGAGGGAGGGAGGAAGAGCAATGACCGCACTGCATTTTAAGATGGCAAGGTGTTCATAGCTTCAGTCCTTCATTCACATGGGTTTTCTCTAGCAATGGGAAAGTGTGGGTCTTTAGGTGAATGCAGGCAGCAATCAAAGTTTGGTATGTAGGAGAGGCAAGAAAGGTCCTGGGTTCTTGAAGCACGATCTGGGGAATAAAGAGCCCTGACCACCTATCTGGCAGTGGTTACAACAGCAGATTGTAACCTCATATTCTCCTGTTGAATGCCTCACGGGTGATCTGCAGCCGGTAAGATGATACAGATATATCGTTTATGGGTATCTTTATATCTTCTTATAAAAAAAGCCCATCCTTGTGAGCAATGGGAATCTGCTCACATTTGTCCCCCGGAGCTGGTGCACACAACATAGGAAATGAAATTGCTCACCAATTAACTTCTAGCAGAATTTTGCATGTGTGTCTGTCTTGGGGATGAGGCAAGTATCAGAGGAAGGCAGCTAAATGCTTTCTATGAATCCGGAGCCTGTAGCCATCTTTTGGGACGTGTGTCTGCATTGGTGTTAAAAGGGGCAGCTGGAATAGGCTTAGCAGAGACTGTAAATAAACGAATAAACAAAACACATGTTCACAGCACAGGTGACAACAGCAAGCCCTTTTCTGGAGAAATACTTGACTTTGTTTACACTGGAGCAGGAGCCCTTTCCTTGTTTTGCTTACCAGTGGAAGGTAATTGAGGGAATGTTCTCTTGTTACTCACAAGAATGGAGTCTGACTTGAAAGGTGAATTTAAAGGACAGCACTGGTGAAACACATGTAGTTGCAAATGGGAAGAAAGTAGTCACTGAAATTGCTTTCCTACAGGGCCAGAGCCTGATAATGATTCATCATTAAGGCAATCGGAGTCAAAATGGAGTGGCCAAGATTTAATCAGCTGGAAAAAAAATAGAGAGAGAGAAAAGCCTATTCAGAGCAGATTGACACTGTGCATGCGTGAGCTTGGACTGATGCAGTGAAGGGGCAAAATTGGCAGTGTAGGGTGTTCAGTTAACCTCCCTGATATAATGGCAGCTGCTACTGTCTGTTTTCCTAAGATGGCAAGTGACTTATTTGGCTGTTATTGAAGGGCTCACAAATCCCTGCCCCAGCATTTTGGCCATTGCCATGCCTGGAAGGCTGTGGCTTATACACTGCAGAGTTTGAATGGCACATGCACACAAGTACCCAGCAGTGCTTTTTGTGGTGGTGTCATTCTGATGGAATGAGCTGCTGCACCACCACGGTTGCTTTGGCTCAATGTGGTATGGCTTGGAAAGGTGCATTCCATTTGGGAGCCTGTGCTATGACTCCTGTTTATGCAAGAATGGCTGAGGAATTCCTTTTGTTGCATGCCTGAGAGAAGAGCCATAGCTTGACAGGCGTTGCCTTGCATGCAGAAGGTCCCTGTTTTGGCCCACAGCATTTCTAAGGATAACTGGGAGCAGGGCTTGGAACGACCCATGCATGACAGGACAGCTGACTTCCCCAAGGGTCTTCCTACTGGACTGAATTACCTGTTGGAGCTCTTTGGTATGCAGAGTAAGCACAATCAAAATTGTGAATTTTGATTACATTAGAGAATAAACTTGTTGAAATCACAGAAAAACAGATGCTTGTAGAGTAAGAAAATAATACAGGAGTTTATTGCAGAAAATATATCTTAGATATAAAAGGTTTTTGGTTCTAAGCTAACTAACTAATCTAGAGAAGACATACGCAGACATGCCTGCTTCTATGTTCTCAGAGGATAGATTTAAGATGATCTCTCATTTTGAAGCACAGGAGAGAAATGTGAGGAGGAGGAAGTTGTAGACAGGATGCAACCCAAGACATATCTGTCTAAACATCAAAGAGATAGGGAGGCAAGCTTAAGGGGTCAAAGATACAGGGATAGTCTGGGAATCTGGAGGTTGCTTACTCTTTCCTGCATTAAACCCTCATCTGCAAGCTGAGTTGCACAAAAACTTCAAATACAATCTAGAAAAAGGGATAAAGAAGACAACAGAAGAAGGGAAAGAAATTGGAGCACCAGGGGCAAGAATTCAAGGTGGAATAATTTTTCCATTCAAGGAAATGCAAGAAATGTGGGCCCTGTCATTTCCACGACAGCCGAGAAATTGGAGACTGATTCTAAGCATGCTTACTTGGGAGTAAGTCCCAAGTGGGTGTGCAGAGGATTGCAGTTGGCACCGAGCAGGAGTCCAGCCTTAACACAAAAATCACACTCCTTTTCTTTGTGTGGGATATGTGAGCTGTTGACCAAATCAGTTACACTGCGTGCCTTTTCCATTGCCCCTTATCAGCCACTCAGTCAGCTTCATCTGGGATCGATGACTGCCTAAGAAGCCTATAGAGTGTACCTCGGGTTAAGAACTTAATTCGTTCTGGAGGTCTGTTCTTAACCTGAAGCACCACTTTAGCTAATGGGGCCTCCTGCTGCTGCTGCCACACCACTGCCACACAATTTCTGTTCTCATCCTGAGGCAAAGTTCTTAACTCGAGGTACTATTTCTGGGTTAGCGGCGTCTGTAACCTGAAGCCTCTGTAACCTGAAGTGTCTGTAACCTGAAGCGTCTGTAACCTGAGGTACCACTGTAATTACCTGGGTCTAACTGCTTTGGTCTTTCTGAAATCCTGGCAGTGAATGGGCTTCTTCCCTGCCCTGCTTGCAAAGTCTAATTGGGGATTTGCATTGAGATTCTGGAGTTGGGGGGGGGCAATGCAGGGACCCCTTTGCTGAGATGCAGCAGGCAGGTGTTGTGTGTCACATGTTCCACACTGTTGCCAGCCTACCACTAGCTGAATGCACAATGCATCCTATGCCACCTATGAAATTGGTACCTTGGGTACCAAGTGGTACCTCGGGTTAAATACTTAATTCGTTCTGGAGGTCCGTTCTTAACCTGAAACTGTTCTTAACCTGAAGCACCACTTTAGCTAATGGGGCCTCCCACCGCTGCTGCACCGCTGCTGCACGATTTCTGTTCTCATCCTGAAGCAAAGTTCTTAACCTGAAGCACTATTTCTGGGTTAGCAGGGTCTGTAACCTGAAGCATCTGTAACCCGAGGTACCACTGTAAATGTTAACAATAACTGAAGCTGACATGCCTAGCAGCTGATCACTTACTTAAACCTTGGTTTAGCACAACATGGAATAGTTAAAGCACCAGCAGGAGCAGGTGAGCCTTGATTGTGGTTTCGATATTTTGTTGCTCTTCACTTTGGGCTCTGTAGATTTTGGGTGGTGGGGGTTCTTAGCCATAGTCAGGGAAGAGGTTTGTATTTGCAGTCATGGACAGGGTGGCCCTGCTGGGTTCCGTCCAGTGGAGACTGTTAACTGGAGCCATACCCCTTGCTTCATGCTGCAGCACTAAGAATGGTTCCCTCTCTGGCTGTATCTTTCTTCGGCCTGACTTTAGAAGGAGGAAGGGCTCCCTTGCTTCGCTTTGCAGTGTCTTGGCAGGGTGCGCCTGCAATCTTTCTTTCTTTCTTGCGCTTTAGCTTCCTCCCTCCCAAAGCAGGTGCAGGGCTAGCAAAGCACAGACTGCCTGCAGGTAGAACATGGCTGAGTTGCAGCGGCCAAGGAGGCAGCATCACCCTGCAGTGCTCATGAAGGCAGGTTGTGCAACGTTGGATGGCTTGGTGTGGTTTTGCTTTTGCTTCTGGAGGGGATGTGGGGCCCAGATTCCACCCCCACCCCCCAGCTGTGTGTGTGTGTGGCAGCTTTC